AGTTCCCCTAATTGCCATCAGCTACCCTGTCATGTTTTCCTGAATCTCATCAATGGCCTGAAACCTCTTCCCTTTCAAAGATGATTTTAGTTTTGGAAAAATCCAGAAGTTGCAGGATGCCAAATCTGGGCTGTAGAAGGGCTGAGTCACCTGGATGATTTGATGTTTCACCAAAAAACTGCATGAGACATGATGCATGAGCAGGCGTGTTGTTGTGATGAAGGTGCCAATCACCAGTTGCCCATAGCTGCAGCCTCCTGAATCATCCAAATAGTTTCCTTGGTGGAATATTAAAGCTTAATGCAAAACTTGATGCAGATTCATTGCTCTTCTTGCTCAGTCTTTATGAATGCACCAGCCACACAGTACCAATGATCACTTAATGGCATCTACTGCCCCAAGACTACTACAGTGAAGTCATCATTGTTCACACATGTGCATTCCAATCCATTCTCCTTGGCTGCCAGATTACATCAATGTCGCACAAACCATTCTCATTATATTAACAAACTTTTCCCAGACAGGCAAGTCACATTCAAAGTGACTGAGTAAATAGAGCAACAAATCTACATCAAACTTTGCATTAACCTTGAACACTTTTTTTGTGGAAACTATACAGATGATTCACAAGGCTGCAGCTATGGGCAACTGGTGATTGGCAGATTAATCATGTGCATCCACTCATCCACTCATGCATCTACTCGTGCATCATGTCTCGTGCAGAGTTTTTTGGTGAAACATCAAATCACCCAGGTGACTCAGACCTCCTATAGCCCAAGTTTGGTATCCTGTGACTTCTGGCTTTTCCCAAAATGTCACCTTTGAAAGGGAAGAGATTTCAGATCATCGATGAGATTCAGGGAAATATAATGGGGCAGCTGATGGCAATTGGGAGAACTGTGTGAGGTCTCAAGGTGCCTACTTTGAAGGGGATTGAGGTGTCATTGTCCTATGTACAATGTTCTTGTATCTTTAATAAATGTCTCTATTTTTCATATTACATGGCTGGAAACCTTCTGGACAGACCTCATACACCTTAGCCATTCATTCTACACAAAGTCAATAGCTCATCTAGACTTCTGAAACTATCAGTTATCAAAGTGAATGATTTACTAGAAATTTTTTTAAAAGTCTGAGCAAGTTCCTGAGTAAAGGGATGTCCTCCTTTTCAAACTGGGGATTCATGTGACTCTGCCACATCCTGTCTGGACCACTGAGGATAGAAGTGGAGGAAGGCAGAGCTCATTGATTCAGAGAAGGGTAAAGCTCATGTTACTGAGCAACTACAGACCAGTCCATTTTTTGTCCTGCATAAAGGCAGCCACTAGTCAGTTTATAATTTAGCCCCACAATAAAATAGACCCAGCTGGGAAGTTTGCTTTGTTAGTGCTTCCTCTTCAGTGTTACACTGTCATATTCCACAACCACTTACATATTACTGTAGTTGGCAGAACAATGACCCCTCCAAGAGGTCCACCTCCTTATCCCCAGAAGCTGTGAATATGTGATCTTATATGGCAAAGGAACTTTGTAGTTGTGACTAAATTAACGATTTTGAAATGGTAAGGTTAACTTGGATTTGTAATCCTCATACTGGAAAGAGGAAAGCAGAAGGGTGAGAGAGAAGAAAGTGTGGTGACGGAAGCAGAGGTTGAAGCAATGTGGTTGCTGGCTTGGAAGCTAGAAGGGAGCCATGATCCAAGGAATATGGATGGACTCTGTAAGTTAGAAAAGGCAAGGAAACAGATTCCTTTATCAAGTCTGCACAAGGAACATAATCCTGCTGAAAACTTGTTTTTAGGACTTCTGACCTCCATAACAGTAAGATAATAAATCTGTGTTTCTTAAATCAATAGGTTTGCAGTAATTTTGTACAGCATCTGTTGGAAACAAATATACCTGTGGACTTTGCATTATCTATCCCAATTTATTACCTTTCACTCTTTGACTTTGTAGCTCCTCATATAGATGGGGTGGAATCATTCCCTACTCTGGACTCTGGGTTAGGCATAAGACTTGTTTTGTCCAGTAGGATGAGCTAGAAGTGACAGTGTGCCAGTTCTGAGGCTAGGCCTAAAGAAACTTTCTGTCATTTTTGTGTTTCTGTCATTGCCATGATGAAGGCCTGGGCTAGATGATTGATTTGAGGAGGGAGGAGTGACAATGGAGCAGAGTTATCCCAGTTCAAGTATTCCAGCAGACAAGCCCCAACCAAGCCACAACCAACTTAGCCTGACCTAGATCAGCTAGGACCCTAACTCACCCCTGAGTTGTAAAAATCAAATGATTGTTAGCTTAAGCCACTGAATGGTGTTAGGGCAATATGTTACATAGCAGTAGCTAAGTGAATCAATGCCTTATAAGCTAATAATGGCAACTTGGAAAGTAACATTCCAAATATTTTTTTACATGATCTCATTGTAATGCTTGCTTCTGTTGAGTGAATGGCCCAGGCCATAACATTTTAGGTATTTCACATCTGGTTTGTCCCAATCCTATAGTCTCATCATACACAGTGCAATAACCAGGAACAGAGCAATCAGAACCTTTTCCACTACCCTGCCTTCCCTTCCCAAAGAGCTCACATTGTAGCAGTCTGTAAATCTTTTTTATTAGTTTGTTTATTGAAACTTAACATATAAGTTATATATATATATAGAATTAGACAAAAAATTGACAAAACTTCATTGGCTACAGGCCACAGCTCTAACCTGGGTTATTTTCTAAGTGTTTTTAAGTATAACAAAACAATATTTGTCTCCATACACAAAGTCAGGGTGGAGTCCAGCTTTGGTCAGTAATAATCATTATGGCCTCATTGATTTGAATTGCATGTGTAGGCTAATGCTTATTAGAGTAAACCTTTTTTTTTGGATTTGTCTCCAAATTAGTAAATGACAAACAAATGTATTGACTCTCAACCTACCCTAACAATGGTAGGTTGAGAGTCAATAAAACACGATCTGATTCTGGCTGACCTCTGGCCCCAGAATTCAACAGCATGAACTGAGGGCACTCTCCTCGGACCCCCACCAGGGTGGGCAGAGAAACAGCCACCCCTGCTCCTTTACTGAAAATAAATGTTGTTCCAAGGAGGCTGCAAACTATTATCATAGAAATGAATGCTCCTCATGTGTGAAATCTTCACTCTAATTAAGGGGGAGACTTTTATCATCATTATCACAAGCAGGGGAAAGGGGCACCCAGGATTTCAGGGGGAATTAAAAAGTGTAATTAAGTTTTGTTGTGATGTATTTAGCTTGCAGGTTATATCAAATAGGTTCTGACAAACAGCTGTATATGATGATATTAAATATTCATTATGATTCTATCACAGTATGTTCTACATTCATTGCTGGGAAATTGCTTACTGGCTTTAAACTTGACTGACTTCCTCCCCCAAAGCATTTTCTCAGTCATGCAACTTGTAATAAAAAAACACATTGCTTTATAAGTGAGAGGCTGATTTTAATACAGTAATAACTGCAGTGAGACCTGTCATTAGGAAGCTCAGCAGTGAGTACCACACTAACCCCCAGTGTGATCATTACCCTGGCTCAAAAGTTCCGGCAATGGCAGGTATAGTAAGAAAGTCTGCCAAGAAGAAGGCCAGCTTATTAACTTCATTTCTGAATGTATGCCAAACAATTGCAGTTACTGTGAAAACTCAAAATCTGAGGGTTTTTTTAAATTTTTATTTTACATGATTACTCACACTGTATTCACTTCCATGGAACACCTCAAGGGGCTGGCATTTTCTATAGCTCCATTTTTTTTTTTTTGCTCATTGAACCTTACTTTTCCTGTGATTATAGAATAACAGACTAACCTATCGTTTGCAGATGACAAACTGAATCCTAGGGAGGGTAAAGAAAATGGCTCAAGTTGGCACAACTAGAACCGAGTCCCTGGACTCCTAGCCCAGGCTCGCCCTGCACAGGGGGCTCCACTTTCCCTGACTGACTTACAAGGCCAGATCCTAAAACTCTCACACCATGTGGCTCGTCTACAAGTCTCAAACACTCCAGAAATCTGAGTTATACATGGCTGAACTCTTAGGAAGTCATCATTTCCCTTTCTAAGCAGAGTTGACCACTCATTTCTCTTTGAAGCACAAGAGAATTACACAACTTAAATGCAGCCCCCAAAAGGTCAAATCTGACTGAGAATGAGAATTGGAAGGCAATTAATATATAATAAAAAAACAATTAGGTTCCCAGGCCTAGGACCCATGCAGTGAATGAAATTGACTACTTCACAGGTGTTCTTGATTGGATGAATGCATGCCTTGCATATCAGTGACATAAAACAGGCTACAGGGTGAGCTCTTCCAATAGTGACTAGAATGGCTGTAACAATATGATAACCTCAAGAACAGACAAATTTATCCCAATGAAGCACTTATACTGAACCTGAAACAATGCATGCAGTGGGGTGTCTGCATTTTGCAGTCATTTTTACCAAACTTTTGAGCTGTTCTCTGCATGAGGATGACCCTTTCATCACTTGAGTGGGATGCCATCTTCTGCTCTCAGGACTTTCATTGCTTATTCTTAGAATCCCCTCACTCAGATTGTTTGATATCTTCTAGCAAAGTGGTTTGTGGGCATGTCTTCTGTCTCTCACTGGGTTGTAAACTCCTTAAACAGAGACCAGATCCTTCACCTTTGTCATCCCCACGTGTTTGGCTCATTTGAGTGCCCCCAAATAGGCCTTGAATGAGTTAATGGCAAGAAGACTGGTTGGCTGAATAAATATTTTTTCAATCTGGTGAGGTGCAGATGGGTAGCTAGAAGTATCCTAGCTTTAATCTTTTATCTTTAGTTAGGTTGGGAAAGACATCTCATTTCTTCTCTTTCCTTGGAACAGCCTAAGGCAGGGGTTCCCAGCCACTCTAGGACACAGACTGGTACTGATCCAGGTCTGCTAGGAACTGGGCCGTACAACAGGAGGTGAGCTTGAATGTGATGAGCTTGAATCACCCCAAAACCATACCACCAACCCTGGTCCATGGAAGAATTGTCTTCCATGAAACCAGTCCCTGGTGCCAAAAATATTGGGGACTGCTGGCCTAAGGCATACCCTGGTGACATAGCACAAAAGGTCTTGATTCTTGGCAGTCTGTTGGCACTACCCACAGCTCCAGAGCCCTGATTAGATTCTTGGTATATGCCAAGAAGGACAGCCCACAGGCATGTACTTCAGGATGTAGTGGGTAGTTGGGAGACAGGTGGCATGACCCCAGCCCACTCCAGTATGTCTGCACACAAAGACTCCACAGCATCCAGCCGTTCAATTTGCACCAGTTTTGTGAGCAGCTCTGGGATGCTGTAGCCTGCTGTGCTGATACGATCAAAGAGCTGCAGGCCATCTGTCATGCCTCCAATCTCATCTCTTTTTAGTCCAAAGCTCTCCGCTAGGTGGCGCCATGTTTTCACAACAGCCTTCTCAGAGTTATAGGTGGAGCTGAGCATTCGGCTTGTCTTCTCAAGGCAATCAAAGGGCAGCTCCGTGGGGCTGAGACCTGTGGGCAAGAAGGACCAGTAAGATGTTGCAGATGGCAGTTAACAGAAGCCCAATACGATTAAAATTGTTTTCAAAACGTTTTTTTAAAAAATTGTAAAAACACAGATGCAGAAAACCACGCAAAATAAATATATAGTTTCAGATGAACAACACCCAGGACTTTGGCAGCCACATGAGAAGTCTCTCCATAAACCCAAATTCCACAACTGACTTTTCTCCTCCCAGGAAAATAACTACCATAACCATATTGACTTTTTTATTAATAGTAATCCACTAAAGACCATTTTCAGCAGTCACTGAAGCCTTCACTATAGGCTACCTTTAGTTGAGTAACTGCCTTACTTGGACCTGGGCAGGGGAGGGGGTCAAAGGCATAGAACCACTGTCCTTTTATGGGAATAGTAGTCTCTTTTATGAGAGGTGCTCTCAAAGACAGCCCAAACTTTGTGTTATCTGAGCCAAGTCACTGCCAACTCAGTAGTTCTCAGATTTTGCTATACATTAGACTCACCTAGAAGTACTTAAAAATTGATACATTTCTACTTTTGGAAGATAGACTAGGCATATTTTTCCAAGTAAGTAGAGCTAAAACCACTGGCACTATGGATAAAGCAAACACAAGAGGACACTGGAGTGTGGAGTAAAGATACTGCTCAGGACCTCAGGACTGGAGCAATGATGTAATGATGAGTTCCCTGGGTTTTCTTTTGCCTCATCATCCAAAACATGGAGCTGAAGAATTCAGGAATCCAAATTCCCACAATAGCAAAAATAGCTCCAACAAAAGCTTGTTCTCTCTAATTAAAGCACTATGAAAATAGAAACTTAGTAAGAAGAAAATGTTTAGACAATAATTCTTTATTAAAGCCAAACACCACAGAAAAATTGTGGTATTACCATCACCAAGGTCAACAAAGGCTGAATGAGAAGCCTGGGTATTTACCTTCAGTAGGCTGTAGCATTGCGCCAGGGTGGTGTCAGGCAAGTAGGAAGCCTGGACTTTCTTATTATCAGCTGAAAATAAGCCTCCCATAGTCAATGGAGACCACTTGGAGAAACAGATTCCCACCCTCCAACCAGCAATAAAAGGAAGCCAATGGTTGGATGTCAACGAAGGCTGAGTTGGAACTTGAACATCTACCTGCATCTGCCTATAATAAGGTGGCACCAACCACTTCCTCTGCCACAGAGGCATCACAGGAATCCTGTTACATAGAAGGCTTTAAAAAGATCCAGAGTTTCATAACATGACATAAAACTGTCCAGGTTTCAATAGAAACTCACTCTTTATACCCAGAACCAGGAATATCACAAAACAAATGAAAAAAAGACAATCAATAGATGCCAACACTAACATAAAATATGTTAAAATCATCTGACAAAGATTTTAAAGAAGCCATAATAAAAATGCTTCAGCAGTAATTTCAAATATGCTTGAAATAAATGAAGTTGAAAGCTTGCACTGGCCAGTGAGGCTCAGTTGGTTGGGCATCAGCCTTCAAAGTGAAAGGTCACCAGTTCAATTCCCAGTCAGAGCATGTGACTGGCTTGTGGGTTTGGTCCCTGGTCAGGGTGCATGCTAGAGGCAACCGATTAATGTTTCTCTCCCATGTCAATGTTTCTTTCCCTCTCCTTCTGCCTCCCTTTCCCTCTCTGTAAGAAAAGAAAACAAAAATGAAAGTCTTAGAAAATGATAGAGAATATGAAGAAGAACCAAATAGAAATGTTAGAACTGAAAAATATAATAACCAATATGAAAAACTCATTAGATGTGATCAATGGAACAATAAAGACAGAGGAAAGAATTAGTGAGCAGAACAATAGAACAGAAATCACTGAATCTGAACAATAGAAATAAAATAAACTGAAAAACACAGAGCCCCAGGGACCTGTTAGAGTACAACAAAAGATCTCACATTTGTTTCATGGAGTCCTAGAAGGAGAGGAAAAAGAAAGTGGGGCTGGAAAAAAAAATGGCTGAAAACTTCCCAAACTTGGAAGGAAACAAAAGTATGCAGATTCAAAAAGCTGAGAAAACTCCAAACAGGACGAACCCAAGGCAAATCATATCAAGACACATCATAAATGAAGCTCTGAAAACTAAAGACAAGAAAGTCTTAAATACAGCCAGAGAAAAACAATAGCTTATCTATAGGGAAAAAGCAATCGGAATGACAGTGGATTTCTGATCAGAAATCAGTCAGAGGAAATGGCATAGTGCTTTCCAGTGCTGAAAAAAAGAACTGTCAACCCAGTATCCCATACCCAGTGAAAATATATTTCAGAAATGAAGGGGAACTGAAGACATTCTCAAGAAAGAAAAACTAAGAGAATTTGTCACTAGCAAATCTACCCTAAAAGAGTGACTAAAGGAAGTCTCTAAACAAAAAGGAAATGATAAAAGAATAAATCTTGGAACATGAGAAAAGAACACAGTAAACAAAATTTTGGTAAATATAATAGGCTTTCTCTTCTTTTTAAATTTATGAATTATTATTGTCAGATGATGAAACTGATGTGGTTCTAAGTACATGTAGAGGAAATATATAAGACAACTATAAGCAGGAAGGACATAGGGAGGTAAAGTTTATGTACTTTATTCAAGCTAGTAAAATAATGACACCAGTACACTGAGATGTTATGTATATACGATACCTAGAGAAACTACTACAATAGATGTGGAAAAAGATTCACTCAAAACGCATCAAGTGCATCACTCAAAAAAAATCAAAATGGACTTATAAAGTATATTTAAGTGATCCAAAGAAGAGCAGGAAAAAGAAAGCATAGAAATAAAAAATAGATTAAACACACAGTAAACATAAAATAGCAGCCTTAAACAGTAGCATATCAATAGCTACATTAAGTGTAAAAAGTTTAAATTCCAATTAGAAGACAGGGTTTGGCAGAGTAAATTTTAAAAATGATGCAGTTACATGCTGTGTACAAGAAACTCATGTCAAATATAATGACATGATTGGTTGAAAGTAAAATAATGGGAAAAGATACATTATGTGAACATTAATAAGAGGAAAGCAGAATTGGCTATCACATCAGATAAAGCATACTTCAGAACAAAGAAATAACCAGAGATAGAGATGGATATTATATAATAATAAAAGGCTCTATTCACTAAGAAGGCATAGCAATTCTAAATGTGTATGCATCAAACAACAGAGCTCCAAAATATATGAAAAAAAAACCCTGACAGAACTGAAAGAATAAACATAAACCTGCAATTGTTGGTGGAGACTTCAAACTCTCTCCCTTGGTAGTTGATAGAGCAATTAGAATGAAATCAGCAAGAATATAGAATACAACAACACCATTAACCAAAAGAATGCAATCAACAATTATAGAACACTCCACCCAACAACAACATAATATACATTCTTTTCAAGTGCATGCCTTATACTTCAATGAAAGAATTTAAAAGAATTCAAATTGTATGCATAGGGCATTCTCCTATCACAATGGAATCAAACAACAAAATAACAGAAAGATACTACTATAATAGGAATATCTTCACATGCTTGTAAACTAAACAATACACTTTTTGGGGTTGGGGGGGCAGAGATCAAATTTGGTTCATTACATGTGTTTCCCCATGGAGTTAATACATTTAAAGACATGGTTTATTTTTCAAATAAAGAAATGGAGTTTTCAGAGACCATCATTGGGTTTCTGCCAGCTTCCTTGACTTTCCTTTCTAAGAAAATTGGCTTGTATGTGGGGATGGAAGGAGGAAAGTTGTGGGATCCTCATCTCTCTGGGAGGATCTGGGACCAAAGGCAATTGGTGCTCCCCATGTTAGGAAGAGTCACTGACAGTTGATTCCTGATTTGTATCCTGCCTTCCTTGGTGAGGAGAACCACTGGCACTGGGAGTAACTCCACAGAGGGGACCTCCCACTGCATTCTGGGAGCTATACTATTCTGCTGGCTTCTGTCTTGAATCACTGTTAATACATTAGGTGTGGTATGAGGACTAAATAACATGCTTTTAAATGATCCATGAATCAAAGAAGAAATCTCAAAGGATATCTTTTAAGTAATTGAAAATGAAAATACAACATATCAAAAGTTATAGGACATTACCTAAAGCAATATAAGAGCATATTTCTATCAAAAATACATATGTTACAAAAGAGGGAAATCTCAAATTAGTAATCTAAGTTCCTGTCTCAAACTCCTAGAAAAAGATTAGTAAAATGTACCCAAAGTAAACAAATGGAAAAATATAATAAAGATAAGAGCACTAAACAATGAAGTTGAGAAAAGAAAAACCAGAGGTAAACCTGAAAAGAGCCAGCCAGTTCTTTGAAAAGATCAACAATATGGACCAATCTCTAGTAAGACTGACAAAGAAAAAAAAATAAGACAAATTACCACTATCAAGCAATTAAGAAGGGAATATCACTACATACCCTGCAGACATTAAAAAGATAATAAGGGAATACTATAAGCAACAACTAACACAACTCACCCACTATGAAGTAGATCATTTGAATAGCCTTATCACTGTTAAAGAAATGGAGCCTATCTGTAGTTTTAAAAATCAACAACATCCCCCCACTCCAAGAAAAATCTATAAGCCCACATAGTTCCACTGGAGAATGCCACCAAAGTTCAAAGAATTAACACAAATTCCACATAAAATCTGGAAAATATTAAAGGAGTAAACATTCCCCAGCTTATCCTGCAGAGCTAGTATTAACTTGACACCAAAACCATGTAAACACAGTAAAAAAAAAACCACTACAGATCAATATACTTCATGAATGTAGCTGCAAAATTCTCAACAAAATATTAACCAATAGAATTCAACAACACATTAAAAAAATTATGCTGATAACAAATGGGCTTTATTCCGGGGAAGCAAGGCTGGTTCAGTATTTCAAAAATAATGTAGCCCTGTCTGGTGTGTCTCAGTGGATTGAGCACTGGCCTGCAAACCAAAGGGTCACTGGTTCTATTCCCAGTCAGGTATGTGCCTGGG